ACCCGAAAACAAAACTTGAGAAACAGTTGAAATGTTTCCAGATGTTTAGCTTTTGTATTGTAAGGGTAATGTGTAATGATAATTTTTCATCCATTCTGTTTCACTCCAGTTTCACACTTTACCCATTCACCCCTGAAATTTCATAATGAACTATTCCAACCTTTGAATTGGAAGAGTTCAAATGTTCCTCTAGGGGTGAATGAGTTAAATGAGAGGATGAATACAACAAAACACAAAATATAGTTTGCAAGTGGAAAGTTGGTGGGTGTTAAATATTTAACTGTTTTGAATCTATCTTGAAACCTGTCCTGCCTCGATTAGTGCATTATGCAGATATGTTTTTGTGTTCATTTTAAGTGCCTTTAAAAATTCAATTATCTTCTGTTATCAGTTTCAATACAAAAGATCCTCTGAATATTTGTTGTGACTTATAAAATTGCAGATGGAAAGACTTGTTCAACATTTTACTGAATACATATTTGGTCTGATTTATGACTTAACAAATCCAGACAGTCCATGGTCACTGAACAACAGACTTTTGTTTACAGAAAAATATATACACATGTACCCATTGAAAACATCAATCCGCCTGAAGAAGCCCTAGAAGGCAGAAAGGCCTAGCGGACGATCTGAAAAATTTGTTTTTATTTTACACATGTATATATATATCTTATTGTCACTGAACAACAGACTTTTGTTTACAGAAAAATATATACACATGTATGTATATATATATATCTTATTGCTACACATCCTTTTAACAAATATAAAATCAGTCTTGAAAATGTGTGACTGTATCTCATCAAAGCTTTCTGTAAATATGTTTTATGTATCCATGCTTAAATGCATTCATGAATGTAGGAAAAAAATGTACCACAGAAAAGCTTCCATAACTTAAGGTGTGTACAAGGATGTGAATGTGTTAAAATAAGTTTATATATATCTCACATTAAGTTTGAATAGGAGATGTGTCGCCAACACCCAAACATTGGTAAACCAGTTGAAAAAGATATTCTAACCAACTATCTGTACTACTAAACGTCAGTGCTCCTAATTTGTTCCTGGTCATAAAAATAAATCTCATTTACTGTACTATCCAACCACACATTCATTACAGGGCAACAAATTAATGCCAGCTGAACAATTGATGATAGTTAATCGTTTTAAATAAATGTGTGGGTTTTTTTTCTAAGTTCTGACGTTTTTTGAAATGTAAAGTACCATGAGTGTTTTAACAACAAATGTTTATCTAATTAATTAGATTAAAAAACAAATAGGATACAAAAAAATGGATACCTTTTTTATGTGGCATATTACTAGTCAATATGACATTAAACAGAGTGTAGAAAAACATGTTTATCTTTCCGACACATATTTTTGTGATAGTGTTCAGTGATGAGATGTTCGTACTTTAATGAGAATAAATGAGGGGAGTGTAATAACATATGTCTGTGTCTTACAGTTTTTATATGATGGCAAGAAGATTTAGACAATTAGGGAGAAATATGTAGGTAGGAGAAACACCTTCAGGAAGCTAGTCTCCTATACTTTCTGGGGAAAAAACCTTGAATTCGTTTACAGGACATGCCATAGGTGTGTATGTATTTGAATTAAAAATTAAAGCTATTTTTGTTCTGACGGATGCAATGATGGAACGTCGGCTTTTTTTTTAAACAATTAATTTAAACACCAATGAAAAGTTTGATGTTATCTCAAATTCTCACTTTCAAAGAATATAATTTACACAGTCCATAGAAAGGTTGAAAGATTACAGATTACCCAGTAAAATGGTTATCGGGTTACGTACAAGGAAGCAATGTGTTTGTAGATACATAGCCCAGACTAGTCAAATTTAGACAAACGTCACCAATTTGATAAAGTCCTCACTAAGAAAAGTCATTTGATACAGTTTTTACGTCATTAATATATTATAATTCGTATTCAATTTTTCCTGGGACAAGGGGACAGGGTCAAATATGGAAAATATGGGCTAATCTTCATTCCTTATTTAAGATTACTATGTGAGCTTGAATGAAGGGAGTTTAATAAGATTTTGTCTGAGGGCAAAGGGGACAAAATGTTGTAAACAATTTTTAGGATATTTCTGTCTGTTCTTAACTTATACTCATTTTTCTCTTTTGATTCTGCATGCTCTAAAATAAAAGGTGTTTGTATGCCACCTAGAGAAAAAATAACACTTTAAAATAGCATATTTTCAGTTGTTCTTCCAAATGAAATAATCAAAACTTAGAAAATAGTTTAGCTAATTCTTTGATTGGAATTGTAAATAAAAGGGGTAAGTATGTGATAGGCATGTTTGTATCCTATTGAATATACGTATACCAGGTAATACAAGTAAAAGGCAGATTATCTATTCATGCAGGCCCCTGGGCCTATTGTTTCATCAGCTATGTATGCTAGTGAGTTTATATATAGTTGGATTGAAATTAGATTGCCATATTTCCAACATTGATTGTGAACTGACCCCTCAAGGATCCCTGTCCCTCTGTAGGTTAATCATTATATAGGTTTCACTGTGTTATTTCATATACAGTAACCTCCCCTTAGTTTCATTTCAGATATAACTTAATGCAATTGGGCAAACTATACTTCTGTTTACCAAGTTAATAAGCTCAGTAGGTAAGAGTAAAACATACATGCCAGATCTCACGGCCTGAGGCAAAATCTCAAGGATTTTCACCTCCGATAAAGTCTCACAGCGTGGGACATGAATTTACGGAAAGTCCTCAAAACCTCTCGTTTTTTTATGATCGATTGGTGAACCATTTTCCTGTCGAAGTTTACTCCAAGTTTTACGAGATTACACAATGTTTTCAGTGATAAATAACGAGAGCACTTGAGTAACGGTCATGTGATTGGTTATGTTTTTGAAGAAAATTTAGCTGGTTGAAATGGCCGGGTTGAAATTGTGAGTTTATCTTGGTGTCTTATACAATAAGTAATTTATCTTAAAAAAAACCCATTTGAAACAAATTCATATTATAGATTTAGTTTGATCCTTTCTAATTGTTGCCATTAATTTTTGTGATACATGTTTTACAGAATGCCTGACACTCTTAGTCTTGGCCAATGTGTGACAGTGTCGCGCTGCTTCAGCATCAAACTTTCCCGTGAAGTTAATACCTTACATTGTCAGTAGAATTAGCACAAAACATGTTTTCTGTCATGTTTGTAACGTTAGTTCATTGCTAGAAATTTCCGGCTAAGTGTTACTTTACAAATGTAAATTCACTACGAAAGTATAGAGAACAAGAAGTTAGGGGCATGTCAAAGGAGTAGAAAAAAGTCTTTATTCTGAATACTGAAATATGTCATTTAAAAGTTCAAATACTGAACACTGTCAGTTTGCTTTTCTTTCACAGCTGATTATTTCTGTCCTCTTGTTAAATGCCTGTTTCAAGATTCTGTTACATTGGCAAGAAGTTCAAATGTAAATGAACGTAGACAACAATTATCCGAACATAGACAACAATTATCCTTACAAACCTATCCAAATACACAGTTCAAAGTTTAAACTAAACATCAGTAGTACTGTGGCTGCTGTCAATATTGGCCTGTCCAACTAAATTTCGAAACTTTAAAGTAAAATCTGTTTTTTCAGTATATCTCAACGATATGTGATGTTTTGTTTTGTAAACTTTTTGCTATTAAACATAATTATATAATCATATTCAATATATACCAAAAAAAAAAGCCTACCAAAGTCAAAACAAAGCTCCTTACTTAAAGATTTTGTGCTTTACTTCATTAATTAAGTTGAGTAAGATAGTCTTTTTGCCGCAAAAAATGCCGAGAATAAAACCTCCCTTATTTAACCTCAATTCCCTTAAAATGATTGTAAACACTCACAGATTGGTGTCCAAGAATTCTGGCATGTATGGTAACAGTATAACAATTTGAGGTCTAGGGTTCAAATCTTTGTCTGCCCATGCTAAAGTTTTACTTTCAGAACACTGTTATTGATTGTTTTGAGTAATTTTAACATTTTCATAAAGTCCTGCAAGGCATGGTTTCTATATTCAGAAATGATAAATCAAAGATCTTAAGATAAAGTCATGCCGGGGGGGGGGGGAAACAGTTTCCAGCCAACGGATTAGCTACAGTTTTTGTCAGTAGTGCAGGATCCTTTCCTGGTTTGGGGTTAACCTTTCTGATAAAACCATAATCAACTTGTCTGTTTTGTTATATCTGATACTGATAATGATAATTGGTTATTTAACACATTCACCCCTGAAGTTTCATAATGAACTATTCCAACCTTTGAATTGGAAGGGTTCAAATGTGTCTTCAGGGGTAAATGAGTTAACTGATGCAAAAATGTCAGGATTGAATCAAAATCATCCTTGGGAAACCACACACATAAAATGAACATGTACACAAAATACATACCAGTACATTTACTCTAGAGTATACAAATGGCATACACTATAGGTACCCCTGTATCTACGAACAAAAGTAGTGAGTCAAAGGTCAGAGTTCAGATGAGTATTTGTAAATATCACATTGCCAAGGGTAAATCGAAAACAGTTCAAAAACAACTGATTATCAAGGATATTTGTTCAAATGGTCATGATAAGCTGTATGGAAAACATGGTTTAAGTCAAAGTATCTTTAAACATTACTTGTGATAGACTTATTTATTTGAATGAAAGTCTGGATTGGTAAATATCACTTGATGGTTAATATATGGCACTACTTTATTTCATTGACACGAAAACCTCGCTTCGGAGGAGAACTATCCCCAAGAAAGATGATTTTAAGCTGCCTTTTAAATGCAGGGTTAAGAATACTGTAAATAATGGGATTAATGGCAGTATTGACACAGAATGAGGAGTTACACAACCTGAGGATTTGTTTATGACCCAGAGGAAGGTCTCCGTTCATGTTCAAAGTACCTGTGGTTGTCAATAACTCCACGATGAAGAAAGGGAGGTAACTGAGGATGAAGGTTACGGTGATGACAGCAAACAAGAACGTACTGTGAGCAAGACTAGCCGTGGATTTTGGTGTTCGCTGCTTCATACTGCTGTTAGACTTACAAGACAGTGTCTTTTTGAATGCACTAGAAATTGACGAGAAATGGGAAACCAGGGATTCACTTCTAGAACGCTTCCGGGAAGTTTCCTCTTCAGAGGCACTGGTAGATTTTGTTCTGTTAATGGTATCAGTTTCTCTGGGAGAACTTTGTAATGAAGAATTTGGTGTATTCCGTACTGTAAGGTGTGTAACATATAAATGACTGTTTTGAAAATGGCCATTGGAAATATGTGATGTTCCATTTTGTTTTGTAGAATTTTCCGTTTTATCACTTTCACATGAAGAGAAGGTAAGATTTAGATGCTCTCCTTCATGCATACCATCCTGGGAGCCGTCGTCGTCACGGTGTAGAGAGTTGTTGAGACATAGTTGTGAGCCATGTTCTCTCTGCTGATGCATTTCCATGCCATCATGTAGGTCCATATCGTCACCACTACTTAGACTGTCAAATGATTCTAACGAGGAGGAATTGTGCTTCGATGACACTAGAACTTCACCATTGCTGTTTTGAACCCCGTTCTGTTTAAAAACATTATTATGCGTTACAGGTATTACAAGACTTATCCCATGTAAATCGGACAAGTTATAATCTTTGACACTACCTGAATGGTCTGTGAAGACCTCGTCTGCCTCGGAGAAATGTATATGCTTGTCCATAGAAACATTGCTGATGCTGCGGACAGACCTGGACTTTATTTTATTGAGGTCTTCCCCGACGTTCTTGTGCTTCCATTTCCAAATCTCCTTATACAGCAAGGAATACATAACAACCATCGTGATAAAAATAATGAGGTTTACAGTCAGGAGAGTGGCGAAATATAACGGCCTTACCAAAAGGTCTTTATAGTTGTCGTCATCCGCGCAGTCCATTCCGTACACACCTGGAATTTTTGTCATTACCATCTCTGGCCCATGAAAGATACTGATTGGCCAAGCACCAATACAGCCTCCTAGTACCACTGCGGCACACAGTTTCTTGGCTTTACTCATTGTGAATGATCTCATTGGGTAGCAGATCTTGTAGTAACGGTCAAATGCTATGCAAACCAAGATTCCAGCAGACCATATATTCACGATATTCCCGACAAAGCGAACAATTTTGCACAGAGCTGGAATATTGCCGGAATACATGGGAAATCTTCTGTCCACAGCCTCCAGACTCAATGTAAACGCACCAATAACATCAGATATCCCCAACAAAAGAATGAAATAATTCATCGTATTCCTTTTGAACCGACAGCTGTATATGTACACTACAGATCCATTTCCGAACATTCCCAGTATAGACATGATGATTAGAAAACTCATGACAGGCTTGTTAGCCTCAAACGCTTTTTCATTGTACAGCCAAACTGCGTAATAGTTAGATAATGCACTTACATTCTCATGGTTGTTACTGCCATTAACAAAGAGGTCCGACCCATTCAGCACTTCATTTGTGCCCATTTCTCTATGTTACTCTCCACTGCAATATGTGAACTGTGTCGCATTTGAATACGACAGTCACTTCTGAACTTATAGAAAGTTTAAAATCAATGAAGTCGGCTACAGCCTTAAAATCTCCCTCTCCATATTCAGGCAACCACTGTTGAAATACTGCAGTGTCTTCGTGTTTGTACTGAGTATAGCTATCCCGTGTGACATGCATCACATAATAAAGTTCAAATCTGTCTACGCTATACACCTGTATAAGTTCCTGGTTAAGTGCTTCACAGTTAAAAAATCTTCCCTTATAGTGTCCACTTCATCTGTTACCTGTGAGGTTTCCTCTGTCTGAGCTGACGCCACCATGCCACGCCAGACATTGTAAATATTTCCTTGAAACTCAGTGTGTAAAGTTTTTAATTCATGGAACCATCGTCATTGTGTATTGCATGTAACTCCTCCTCAGCAGGATGTAAATTTCAGTTGGTCACGCTGAATTTCACTCGGGTATAACCATCGTTGGTGTTGTCTGCAGTGTTACACCATGTGTGTCACGGCTAACCTACTTCTTGGGTAAATCAACAACAGTCACAGGAACGCTGTAACACTAAAGCCCTCCATAGCATTGTTACATGTATTTTTAATGGCTTTATGCACAACGTCTCCCACTTCTGATAACAACAAAGAGTGTACAGAAAAACACTCCAACATTGTGATGGTGTGTGTTTGTTTCAATGCGGTCCACAGTTCTAAGTAAATGATCTGTCCCTGTAAACATTTTCACCTTCTCTCTATGGCTACAGTCCCCAAACTATTTCAATGCATTCACCTTAGCTTGATTTGAATGGCAAAGAAAGTCGTTTACTTGTCTAAAAATAGGTGATAATTGCCCCGGGGCAAAGCGTACGTCCACCCACATTACCTGTGTTAGGTAGAGGGGCTGTACTATTGTGGACTGTCCACACACCGAGCGTGGCTTTGGAAGTGTATACCTCCTGGTAATCCTGCTAGTGCGGGGGAGTGTATACCAAGCCACTCACAACTACGTATACATTTAATATAGTGAACAAGTCAAAATTATTACGTCAAATGTATTGTTGCTAGATTCCAACCCTGTTACCTAACTTTAAAGGGTTTGTGATTATTTCGTGGTTTGCTCCAGGATTTACCACATATCATAGAGTCTGGGTCTTAAATTCTTCTTTCCACACCGATAGGCACAGCGTTATTGGACGATAATTCACGCAATATTGTCAATGCACTAAGACGTCTATTTAGCGATTCCTTAACTTGTGTGTACAAGTTTTGTCGGGAGTGAATATATCTAAGGCTTTTAGGTTTGAATTAGGAAAAAATTAAAGGGCCTGGATAAAACCGGTATGGCTATAGCTATTTACCTGCGACGATTGTCCTCTGGGAAATAGAATACAGGCTAGGGTATATCTGTTGATCGACTGATCTTCACTGGCTAAACAGTTCATTACTATACGAGATGTGCTCAATGCTGGTAGTTTAAACATGGCAATACAGCTTAGAGTCAGTGAACCTTTGAAAATCACACAAAATTTGTAAGGAAAAAATGGAAAAAAAAAAACAAAAAAAACCTTATGTATCTTATTTCCAGTCATATTCACCTTATTTTTCATACATGTTTTGTGTCAATTTGGAATACTTTAAAATACAGAATATATAAATATATATATATATAAAGAAAAATTCTTAACAACAAGTCTTTAGTACTTTCATGGGCCTCTTGTTCTTTATATAATATTTCTTCGTCCGTAAGGATCATTTTTCTTATTTATAATATATATATATATATAGAATGTTGAGATGCTACACAAATAGTTAAAAGGTATTGGAATTTGATGAAGATTGACCAAGGTTTTCATCAATTCTATTTTCCTTGTAATTTTATATAAACTTCATTTATATTAAAACAATTATGAAACAAGTTTTTACAACTTATATTCATCACTCTTGTTGGCCCCGATGTTAGTGCGGGGGGGATCTTAATGTGGGAAGAAACTAGAGTACCCGGAGAATACCCACGTGGTCGGGGACCTTTTCACGTCCGATAGAGGAATCGAACCCAGGCTACCTGCTGCCAAGTGTACTATCCACTGCACCACCTGACCACCCTTATACATTTGGTTTGTTGATACCAGCCACAGGTACTAGCCTACATGTCAATACACCTATATTATAAGTTACAGGTGTACTGATAGATGTCAGGCTTGTACCTGTTGTTCTACCTAAATATATCTCCCAAACCCTGCCCTTGTAAAAATACCAGTATGGTATATTATATAGAAAACTTAAAACCATGTCATTTATAATAGCGTTTTTGGTTTTAAGTAAGAGAGATTTCAAAAGTCTTTTATGAAAGAGCAATTCAATGAATATAACCAGTCATGTGTAATTTGTCACCCTGAAAACTATTAATAGATATTTATGGATATATGTATGGGGTGATGCTAGGGGCCAAAAAGTGTGAAATCCATTTAATTGTCTTAACTACTGTTGTAACAATGGGGCATGTGACGTTTAAATAAAAAGACTAGATATCTATTTTTATCAAAAGAACTCCAGCCTCTTATAATTAGCTAAGTCAGTTTGAGTCAGTGTGAGTCAGTTTGAGTCAATTTGAGTTAGTTTGAGTCAGTTTGAGTCAGTGTGAGTCAGTTTGAGTTAGTTTGAGTCAGTTTGAGTCAGTGTGAGTCAGTTTAAGTCAGTTTGACAGCATGTAACACCAGTACTGCACTGTCTTTGACATGATAACATCAAACACCTGAGTTTCACTGTGGTCTGACCAGCTCTGGATAACTTAATAGGGAAGAGATTTGCCTTACACTGCCATTCTCGAGATGTTATTTAGAGTAAAAAAGCATGAAAAATATCCACATTTTAATTTATTATATTCATTTTGCAAATGATGGTAAACAACGTATATATCAATTAAATATCATTAACCTTTCTGATGATATATAATTTATAGAATTGATTTACCAACAAAAATCCTTAATAAGTTAAAACAGCCATTTAGGGTCCTATATGTCTTCATTCTATAAAATTTGTTCATTCTATATATTTTGCAAATTATGGTAAACAACATATATGTTAATAAAATGTAATTAACCTTTCTAATGATATATAATGTATTTATAACATTGATTCACCAACAGAGATCCTTAATGTGTTAACTCAGCCATTTAGGGTCTTACATGTCCTCATTCTACTTATTGGGCAATTTCATTGCTGGATGGAAACATGATAGTAATAAAGAGGAAGTATTTGAAAAATAACCTCTTAACAACAAAAAGTTAATTAAACTGTTGAGGAAGATCCTGGTTGCATCAGGTTCCAGTTGATTTTATATTGTAATGAGAAATAATTTGAGGTTCTTATTTACCGCTTTTGTCACAACCTAGTTCGTAGGTCGTCTCAAAGCGGTTCACAAATTACACCTATGGTAGTGTTATAGTTAGAATTTTTTAAACAGTTGCTATGACATTCAGACTGGTCAATTGAACCATTGGTGTATGGTTAATGTGCCACAGTCAAAGGTCAAAATCTTATTAAGGTGAGATTCGATGACGTCTTAATGGAAACTATTGCATTGACAATATTATGAAGTATCAAGTGTCCATTGATGAAGGTAATAAGATCATGGACTTTTAGATCAAATTCTGCATTCCTTTCCAAAAATCGTTCTTTTTTATATCTAATTAACTGAGACAACCTCACTTTAAAAAAAAAGAGTTAAACACTGTTGACATGAGTACCAAGCCAATAAGAGAAAAGAATAAAGATGTCAAACTTACACGGGCATAATGAAGGTTTTACGATGGTGGATAACCGAGATCTTACAATGGTGGATACCGAGATCTTGGGATCTCTTGGTTTATCTCTTTTGATAATCCCCAAACGAAATGGGGAACATATATATTGCTTTTGCTGGATTTATTAAAATACTTCATTCACCAAATGATTTCCAGATGTTTTCTGAAAAACTAATGTCTGTATTAACTAAGCTAATCAAATATAAGGAGTAATGATGGGCATATCTGGATGTGCAATATGCATTTCTGTTTCCGATAGGACATTGACCACTGCTGTGACAGTCTCAGAGTGTTATACAGAAATTCAGGTTTTGTCATATTGCAATTAAATGTGGTATTTACCAAAGCATATTATGGCACTAGGAAATCTACTTCAACTTCTGTTTTGGTGTTGATCAGTTACATCAGTGACATATATCATTAATGGTTTTATGGTTATTCGGTGGCTTAACTCTATCAGTCTGTCAGTCAGTTTTTCATTTTGTCCAGGACATACTAAAGAGTATCTCATATACCCTTTCACCTACAATTTCATTTTTATTTGCATGTGAGTTCCGCTAGGCAGTTTGGAGAGTTGCACATTGAAATTGGGTCTTGTGCTCCATTATATGCAGAGGTTTGACCCTTTGTTCAGTTTTGATACCGAAACTTACTGAAGCTGGGGGACTTATATTGGATTGCTCAAAATATTTTCTGCATTAATAACACATTCAATAAATGAGATGTTGTTTGTATTTTACCAGTGACTGAGCCCCCTGCATTTAAGACCGGGGAGAAGGAGGCCAAAGTTATTGTCCCAGCTGCTGCAGCCAACAGTGAGGTGGGGTTCGCTGTGACCATCGCTGCAGTAGATGAGGGTATGTATAGGGGCCCAATGGAAACCATTGGTAACTCACAGACAACAGTGAGGTGGGGTTCGCTGGGACAATTGCTGCAGAAGATGATGGAATGTATAGGGGACCAATTGAAACCATTGGTAACTCACAGACAACAGTGAGGTGGGGTTCGCTGTGACCGTCGCTGCAGTAGATGAAGGTATACCATTTGTAACTCACAGCCAACAGTGAGGAGGGGTTCTCTGTGACCATCGCTGCCGTAGATGAAGGTATGTATAGGGAGGCCAAAGTTATTGTCCCAGCTGCTGCAGCCAACAGTGAGGTGGGGTTCGCTGGGACCATCGCTGCAGTAGATGAAGGGTTGTATTGGGGACCAATGGAAACCATTGGCAAATCACAGCCAACAGTGAGGTGGAGTTTGCTGTGACCATGGCTGCAGTAGAGACCGGGGAGAAGGAGGCCAAAGTTATTGTCCCAGCTGCTTCAGCCAACAGTGAGGTGGGGTTCTCCGTGACCATCGCTGCAGTAGATGCAGGTATGTATAGGGGACCAATGCAAACCATTGGTAACTCACAGTCAACAGAGAGGTGGGGTTCTCTGTGACCATTGCTGCAGTAGATGAGGGTATGTATAGGGGGCCAATGGAAACCATTGGTAACTTACAGCCAACAGTGAGGCGGGGTTCTCTGTGACCATCGCTGCAGTCTGCAGTAGATGAAGGTATGTATAGGTGACCAATGGAAACCATTGGTATCTAACAGCCAACAGTGAGGTGGGGTTCTCCGTGACCATCGCTGCAGTAGATGCAGGTATGTATAGGGGACCAATAGAAACAATTGGTAACTCACAGCCAACAGCGAGGTGGGGTTCTCTGTGACCATCACTGCAGTAGATGAAGGTAGGTATAGGGGACCAATGGAAACCATCGGTAACTCACAGTCAACAGTGAGGTGGGGATCGCTGTGACCATTGCTGCAGAAGACGAAGGTATGTATAGGGGACAAATAGAAACCATTGGTAACTCACAGACAACAGTGAGGTGGGGTTCGCTGGGACAATTGCTGCAGAAGATGATGGAATGTATAGGGGACCAATTGAAACCATTGGTAACTCACAGTCAACAGTTAGGTGGGGTTCGCTGTGACCATCGCTGCAGTAGATGCAGGTATGTATAGGGGACCAATAGAAACCATTGGTAACTCACAGTCAACAGAGAGGTGGGGTTCTCTGTGACCATTGATGCCGTAGACGAAGGTATGTATAGGGGACCCCACCTCACAGTCAACAGTGAGGTGGGGTTCGCTGGGACCATCGCTGCAGTAGATGAGGGTATATATAGGGGACCAATGGAAACCATTCGTAACTCACAGCCAACAGTGAGGCGGGGTTCTCTGTGACCATCGCTGCCGTAGATGAAGGTATGTATAGGTGACCAATGGAAACCATTGGTATCTAACAGCCAACAGTGAGGTGGGGTTTGCGGTGACCATCACTGCAGTAGATGTAGGAATGTATAGGGGACCAATGGAAAACATTGGTAACTCACAGCCAACAGCGAGGTGGGGTTCGCTGTGACCATCGCTGCAGTAGACGAAGGTATGTATAGGGACCAATAGAAACCATTGATAAATCACAGCCAACAGTGAGACAGGTTCTCCCTGACCATATTACTGCTATTGGAAACCATTGGTAACTCACAACCAACAGTGAGGTGGGGTTCGCTGTGCCCATCGCTGCAGTAGATGAGGGTATATATAGGGGACCAATGGAAACCCTTGGTAACTCACAGCCAACAGCGAGGTGGGGTTCTCTGTGACCATTGCTGCAGTAGATTAAGGGATGTATAGGGGACCAATGGAAACCCTTGGTAACTCACAGCCAACAGCGAGGTGGGGTTCTCTGTGACCATCGCTGCAGTCTGCAGTAGATGAAGGTATGTATAGGGACCAATAGAAACCATTGGGAACTCACAGCCAACAGTGAGGAGGGGTTCTCTGTGACCATCGCTGCCGTAGATGAGGGTATGTATAGGGTACCAATGGAAACCATTGGTAAATCACAGCCACCCGTGAGGTGGGGTTTGCTGTGAGCATCACTGCAGTAGATGAAGGTATGTATAGGGAGGCCAAAGTTATTGTCCCAGCTGCTGCAGCCAACAGTGAGGTGGGGTTCTCCGTGACCATCGCTGCAGTAGATGAAGGGATGTATAGGGACCAATAGAAACCATTGATAAATCACAGCCAACAGTGAGACAGGTTCTCCCTGACCATATTACTGCTATTGGAAACCATTGGTAACTCACAGACAACAGTGAGGTGGGGTTCGCTGGGACCATCGCTGCAGTAGATGAAGGTATACCATTTGTAACTCACAGCCAACAGTGAGTTGGGGTTCGCTGTGACCATTGCTGCAGGAGACGAAGGTATGTATAGGGGACCAATAAAAACCATTGGTAACTCACAGCCACCAGTGAGGTGGGGTTCGCTGTGCCCATCGCTGCAGTAGATGAGGGAATGTATAGGGGACAAATGGAAACCATTGGTAACTCACAGTCAACAGTGAGGTGGGGTTCGCTGTGACCATTGCTGCAGTAGACGAAGGTATGTATAGGGGACCAATAGAAACCATTGGTAACTCACAGTCAACAGAGAGGTGGGGTTCTCTGTGACCACCGCTGCAGTAGATGAAGGTATTATAGGGGACCAATGGAAACCATTCGTAACTCACAGTCAGCAGTGAGGTGGGGTTCGCTGTGACCACCGCTGCAGTAGATGAAGGTATTATAGGGGACCAATGGAAACCATTCGTAACTCACAGTCAGCAGTGAGGTGGGGTTCGCTGTGTCCATTGCTGCAGTAGACGAAGGGATGTATAGGGACCAATAGAAACCATTGATAAATAACAGCCAACAGTGAGGTGGGGTTTGCTGTGACCATCACTGCAGTAGACGAAGGGATGTATAGGGACCAATAGAAACGATTGATAAATCACAGCCAACAGTGAGGAAACCATTGGTAACTCACAGCCAACAGTGAGGTGGGGTTCTCAGTGACCATCGCTGCAGTAGATGACGGTATGTATAGGGGACCAATGGAACCCATTGGTAACTCACAGTCATCAGTGAGGTGTGGTTCTCTGTGACCATCGCTGCATTAGATGAAGGTATGTATAGGGGACCAATCGAAACCATTGGTAACTCACAGTCAACAGAGAGGTGGGGTTCTCTGTGACCATTGATGCCGTAGACGAAGGTATGTATAGGGGACCAATAAAAACCATTGGTAACTCACAGCCAACAGTGAGGTGGGGTTTGCTGTGACCATCACTGCAGTAGACGAAGGTATGTATAGGGACCAATAGAAACCATTGATAAATCACAGCCAACAGTGAGGTGGGGTTCTCTGTGACCATCGCTGCAGTAGATGAAGGTATGTATAGGGGACCAATGGAAACCATTGGTAACTCACAGTCATCAGTGAGGTGGGGTTCTCTGTGACCATCGCTGCAGTAGACGAAGGTACGTATAGGGGACCAATGGAAACCATTGGTAAATCACAGCCAACAGTGAGGTGGGGTTTGCTGTGACCATGGCTGCAGTAGATGAAGGTATGTATAGGGGACCAATGGAAACCATTGGTAACTCACAGTCATCAGTGAGGTGGGGTTCTCGGTGACCATCGCTGCAGTAGACGAAGGTACGTATAGTGGACCAATGGAAACCATTGGTAAATCACAGCCAACAGTGAGGTGGGGTTTGCTGTGACCATCGCTGCTGTAGAGGAAGGTATGTATAGGGGACCAACAGTGAGGTGGGGTTCGCTGTGACCATCGCTGCAGTAGATGAGGGTATGTATAGGGGACCAATGGAAACAATTGGTAACTCACAGCCAACAGTGAGGTGGGGTTTGCTGTGACCATCGCTGCTGTAGAGGAAGGTATGTATAGGGGACCAATAGAAACCATTAATCACAGCCAACAATTAGTCTGGCTTCTCCGTGACCAAATTACTGATATTGACAAGAGTAAGTACATAGGTAACTGTTGAAGCCATTGGTAAATCACAGCCAACAATGAAACAGGTTCTCCATGACCATATTACTGCTATTGATTAGTGTTAATACATCTAGGTAACTGATGAAACCATTGGTAAATCACAGCCAACAGTGAGACAGGTTCTCAGTGACCATATTACTGCTATTGATTAGTGTAAATACATCTAGGTAACTGATGAAACCATTGGTAAATCACAGCCAACAGTGAGACAGGTTCTCCCTGACCATATTACTGCTATTGATTAGTGTAAATATATCTAGGTAACTGATGAAACCATTGGGAAATCACAGCTAACAACAAGGTGGTCTCTTCCATGCAGTGAAGAAAACGTAACATCTTATAATCCTTTCACATAATCAAATCCTCACAAATTAGTCATCAATGTGTTATAATGAAAATATTTGTATTCACAATAACAGAGTATACTATAAATAAATATATGAATATTTTATTTCTCAATACCCAGGAATGATGCCTTTTGCTGCTTGTTGTAAGCAAAAACAAGTGTTGAAATAGCATGTTAATTACATATTTGTTGTGCTTGCTCTTAATGTACTTCATGATCATTTTTACAGTTACCACCACGACGACCTTGACGTTGGTGCGGCGTGGTACCTATGGAACAGTGGAGATACCGTGGAAGGCCGGCTTTGTGCCTGGGAACATGCCTAACAACTTCGTGGAGGGTACTGTCAACCCTGTGGAGGGCAGTGTCACTGTAGCTCATGGAGTCAGCTCAAAGAACTTCACTGTACAGGTAGGAAGGAGTTAGCTCCCTTGATTGATGAAGTAAGGTATTCAAACCATATTATGTACCCATGGTATTCCCCTCTGAAAAAAGCTAACATATATGTATCAAGATAACAAAATTTTCATAATTCCAGGGGAAAGTGTTTCTACCACAAAACTGGGAGATTAAATTTGCTGGAAACAAAATTTCTTGGTAGTGATTAATATTCAATACTCTGTCTCAAGGGTGGTCGGGTGGTGCAGTGGATAGCACACTTGCCTTTCACCAAGGTATTGGGTCACTACGTGGGTTTTCTGCGGGTACTCCGGTTTCCTCCTTCATTTAGACCCACCCCGGGCCAACAGGAGTGATTAATAGAAGTTGAAATAACTTTGTTCATTATTGTTGTAACATCGATAAAGTTTATATTATTAAAACTCTATCTTGAGTAAACAGAAATTAGATAGATATACAAAGTATACCAAGGGATAAAAACCCTTGCGGCATGAAGATATTTTGGAGTTAAAGGTTATATTGACCTGAATTTTGTGCAGCTGACAGCCAAGCCAGCCCAGCCCGAGTTGTTCTCCCTACATCTCCCCCAGGCTCCCATCACTACCATCTCTGGTGGGGCAAGACTGGCCCCAAACACTCGTCAGGTCCAAATAGAGCCAAACGGCATTGTACGCTTCGCCGCCAACTCCACTAATCCAAGCATTTCTGAAATGGAAGGAAAGGTAAGTTGTTATTGAATAAGTTATGGTGATTTTATTCCTTGTTTTGTTTAAAAGGTATTTGTTTGAAATCAGTAAGAAATATCAAATATTACAATTCTTTTTATGTACAAAAAGCAAAAATCGATCTTGAAAAAAATTGTAATTTTATGTTTTGATTCACCATTATCTGTTGAAATTATGATTTGCATTATTATCAAATATTATGTGTTACACTATATGCTTTTCAGATTTACTTAATGGTGCAAAGACTGTATGGGTCAGAGGGCAAGTTAGAGGTCATCTACAGGTCAGAAGAGGTCACTGCTGATAAAGGCATTGATTTTATTACTATGGAGACCAATGCTGTGATGCTGGACCCAGGCCAAACATCGGGCCTTATTGAGATTAGGGTAATTGGATTATTTTGGTTTGTCTTAAGAATTAAGGATAAGAATATTGAGTACTTACAGTGCTAGTTAGTACATATTCTGAAATTGTAGAATGCTAATCCTTATTATTTACAGCCAGTCTGCTTGTTTGACAATTCTTTGAGCAAAATATGTATAGCTTTTGATCATTTTAGACAAGTATTACAAACCACATAGCGATGGTAGCCAATATTTTGAAGTCATGCAGCCAAGGTCACTGTAACATGTCAAATGTGAAACTGTTCCTGTACGGTTGATAACTTCTGAATCGATATGTTCTTTCTGTCAATATTTACCTAAGTTGTCTCTTGTGGATACTCTATGGTTATGAATCACCAAATGGTCCAAACTTAAAAGCTAGATGTCAGCCAAAGGAACTTTTAAATTAGACTTCAGTTTGTGAAGGAAATTTAGTACATTAATATTCATTTCCTAATTTGGATATCTTTTCTTTTCGACAAGTCAATGAAGAAATTCTTTATTAATTCAAATTTCTTTAACAATACAATGTATTTTGTGATTGTAGTGGTACATTTTCAAATAATGATGTTTAACATAAACTGAAAAAGGCAATTTATGCTGAAATTTTGGTAGGTGCTGCAAGATAATATTCCCGAAGAGGAAGAAACGCTGTTCATTAATCTTACCCGTGTGGAGAAATACCCGACTGAAATAACACCAAGTAAGTTAAAGTATTGTCTGATTGATGTCACCGAGGACATGTATCAGACCTTTTACATCAGGAAATAGACGTAAAATAAAGGGAAAATACTGATTAACCAGTTAAAAATAATTAAACAAAAAAAAACAGATTATATGGTGCAATAATCCACCAACAATTATCATTATTACATTCTTAATTGCCTATCTACACAGAAAAGGTCATTAGGACCAATAAATGATAGATAAAAATTCCCAAATGAAATGTTGAAGAAGGGGGACAGGAATGTGGTCTGTGGCCTTGACCTTTGACCCTGTAAACAATATCCACCTTTTTCTGTCTGGAAAGTCTATCTGATTGAAGTAGATATACAGCTGTTAAGGAGAAGAGACATCATCTGGGGAAAAAACTTTCTAACAACCTTGACCTTTGATATTTGATCCTTAAAACAAATATGCACCTAAAACCAGCCTTTCTCTGATGATAAGGTTTAAGGTTTCATTGTTATGTGTTTAGTTTGAAGATGAATGAATGTTGCAGTGAATCAGAGAAAAAATTGTGCAATATTCACCTGCCCTCCTACCAAATAACAATATACATCTTGGTACAGGGTATTGAATTGATAATTGCTAATTTATTTGAATTTTTTTCATCATTTCAGTAATAGCAATTTAATAAGTACCATGTCGTCAGTGTTCAATGAAGTATTTGATCTGTATAGACAAATTCTCTTTGAAGTTATCGTCATGATATAATCAAATTATTTTCTGCAGCAGCTTACCTGGTTATTATAGTGTATGTAAATATTTCATTAGCCAATCAACAAGATTAATCAATTCAAAAGCAGGTCTGCACACATAACCTACGCAACTCAGAATATCAATAATACAGTGTTAAATTAACAAATTAGGGTAACCAATAATATTAGACTGATTAGAAAGCTGATGGACAAACATTGGCACCTGGCTAACAGCTGATCGTTACAGATTGTGACAAACAGGAGTGTCGCCTACATGTGCATTACATGATAACACAGGAATATAAAATGTAATTATACCCGTCCCAGTAAATTGTGAACGGAATAACACATTGAAATCTAATGCATTGTTACATGAATATCTTCACAAAATCAAACAAATATTTGCTATGTACTGTGAATTTTAGAATTGAAATGCAAGCTGTGTAAGATGTTTTTGTTAAGGTGGGATTTGTAAAATAAAGCTACCCTATTTTAATCTGCTTGTCTATAGGATGTAGTCTGAGCTTCCCAAATTTGATTGAATTTATGGAGAGTGTTTATTTTGCATTATAATCTATTTAATCTGTTTTACAAGGAAATTGGTTCATTGATGGTTACATATGGTAGAGTTTGTGTAGGAGGGTTTATCAAATTACTGTAAATAGCTTTTAATTTGTTTAATGGGTTAATTTTGCATTTTCATCAGGAAATTAATTTTCACAAAAAAAAATTAAAAAAAATTGGTCCATGATATTTTTACATCCATGCATATTAATGTGTCTGTATCAATATTTTAACAGTAAACCATGATTATAACATAATGGAATAACCTCTTAAGTTCAAAAGGATATTTGTCAATTAATGAAGCTGTATGATGTTTTTTGTATCGTTGTTTGTCTTAGATTTGCACTAGATCTTACATCAATACATGGAGCTGGAAAGATTTCCATTGCATTGTTGAACTCGTTGTTGAATCTTTCCACAAAAACGTGAAAATAACATGACTGTGAAAATTACCTGGTATACATTAATTTATGGCGATTCAATTAAAATAGCACTGTAAATCTGGATGTGTCGGTTAACAGATTTACTGTGGTAGTTTCAAATTAAACATCTGTGATATTTATTCACAACAAACTGTATGGTTTTTGTTAGGTGAATTCTGAATAACTTTGCTGAATTACTTATTGCCATTGAATTCTGTCTGACCAGCTTTATCTGTGTGGTTGTGTAGGAATCTCGCCTCGCCTAAGTTCCCTCTACATCAACGCTGTGGTCCATATAGAGGAGAGTAATGACCCCTATGGTGTTCTGTGTATGGAGCCGTCGGAGATCAGCGTGGAGGAGGAGTACAGGCAGGTCAACATCTCCATAGTCAGGACAGGTCAGTAGTGTCCAGCACAACAGGTAGAGTGTCCAGATAAATGGTCTGTAATACCAATATTCAGTGGAACACTGGACAAGTTTTAAATGAGCTAAAACTGTGCATATCTAAATATGTACAGGTACTTTCCTGTATTTCTAATCATTTTCTTCAGGTTGGTAAGTATGAATTGTGAAAAGATTTATATAGCACAACCAAAAAGTGTTTATATGTGATGTTTCGATGACTAGTATGGTATGTACTCTGTCACCTTCATCAGACGAATGACCAGTGAAGCATATGTACACTAAAGGTGTAAAATGTGTACGAGTTGTCCACAAATCGATGTTGAATCAGCTACACTGTAAGCATATGTACAATTACTTGATTTGTATCGAAATGACTCGATTCATACTTTAATTTGATACTTGGTCATAGATGTGCGAGAGTATTATGAGCCCTCTCATCATGATTTAGAACTGGCCCACTGCGGTGAATCCAGATGGCTTCCTTTTTCTGCCGCTTGAACAGATTGCTCTCTCTTGATAATAGTTGTACAATGTCACAGCTGAGTTGAAGTTCAAAGATTAGTGGTATCTGTATTTAATAAGGAATGTTTGGTTTACATTACTCTGTACCAGTTCAATTCATCAATACATAATTTGCTATGCTAAAATGGATATGACTGAAAACATTTTCAAAAGTGACCAATCAGTTAGGAAGACAATGAGTAAAAGTTTACTTCCTTAATTATTTTAGTGAAGATAATTTTTATGACAATCCTAATATTGACTGAAATCTCTTGTACCTGTGTTTGATAGGCGGCCTATTTGGTACAGTGTCTGTGGTGGTGCGGACAGTCGGAGGAGGAGAGATGTGGACATCAATGATTGTTCCTTCTCCCGGAGACACAAACGATACAATCCGACAGGTTCTGGGCAATCGTCAAAGTGACAATGTGGCACGTGGTGGTAAGGACTACGATGTACTGGATACCAAGGTCACGTTACAGGTAATTAATCACCAAGGTCACATTACAGGTAATTAATCACCACCAAGGTCACGTTACAGGTAATTAATCATCAAGGTCATGTTACAGGTAATTAATCACCAAGGTCACATTACAAGTAATTAATCACAACCAAGGTCACGTTACGGGTAATTAATCATCAAGGTCACGTTACAGGTAATTAATCATCAAGGTCACATTACAGGTTACTTGATACCAAGGTCACATTACAGGAAACTTCATACTAAGGTAACATTACAGGTAATTAATCACCAAGGTCACATTACAGGTAATTAATCACCAAGGTCACATTACAGGTAATTAAACACCAAGGTCACATAACAGGTAATTAAACACCAAGGTCACATTACAGGTAATTAACACCAAGGTCACATCACAGGTAACTTTATACCAAGGTCACTTTACAGGTTATTAACACCAAGGTCACATTACAGGTAATTAATCATCAAGATCACATTACAGGTAATTAATCACCAAGGTCACATTACAGGTTACTTGATACCAAGGTCACATTACAGGTAACTTCATACTAAGGTCACATTACAGGTAATTAATCACCAAGGTCACATTACAGGTAATTAAACACCAAGGTCACATTACAGGGAATTAACACCAAGGTCACATTACAGGTAATTAATCATTAAGGTCACATTACAGGTAATTAACACCAAGGTCACAATATAGGTAATTAATCACCAAGGTCACTTAACAGGTAATTTACTTCCAATGTCACATTAAAGGTTACTTGATACCAAGGTTACATTACAGGTAACTTCATACTAAGGTCACATTACAGGTAATTAATCACCAAGGTCACATTACAGGTAACTTTAAACCAAGGTCACTTTACAGGTTATTAACACCAAGGTCACATTACAGGGAATTAACACCAAGGTCACATCACAGGTAACTTTATACCAAGGTCACTTTACAGGTTATTAACACCAAGGTCACATGACAGGTAATTAATCATCAAGGTCACATTACAGGTAAATAAGCCCAAGGTCACATTACAGGTAACTTGATACCAAGGTCACTTTACAGGTTATTAACACCAAGGTCACATTACAGGTTATTAACACCAAGGTCACATAACAGGTAATTCAGCACCAGGATCACATTACAGGTAACTTGATACCAAGGTCAATTTTCAGGTAATTTACTTCCAATGTCACATTACAGGTTACTTGATACCAAGGTCACATAACAGGTTATTAACAACAAGGTCACATTACAGGTAATTAACACCAAGGTCACATAACAGGTAACTCAGCACCAAGGTCACATTATAGGTAACTTGATACCAATGTCAATTTTCAGGTAATTCCCTTCCAAGGTCATATCACAGATAACTTGATACTGAGGTCACATTACAGGTTACTTGATACCAAGGTCTTATTACAGGTAACTTGATACCAAGGTCACATCACAGGTAACTTGATATCAAGGTCACATTACAGGTAACTTGATACCAAAGTCACATTGCAGGTTACTTGTTTCCAAAGTCACACATCAGATAAAATGTGAGTTAAAATTTGGATATTGAGAGTTAATAGTTTGAATGTTTTATAAGATGATGTGCTGAAGTGGAGATATAATGAATTTGCTGTGTATTTTGTTTGTAGCAAGGCCAACAGACAGGGTATGTGTTGGTGACGGTGCTGGCAGACAACGCCGCCGAGCCTGACGAGTCCATTATAGTCTACCTCACTCAGCCAACAGCCGGGGCCAGGATAGCAGAGGGAGCACCTGATGGAGGCAAAAAGGTACACGGTGGTCGAGTGTGTTAATCTTATGTTTACTCTGAAGAAATGTGACAACCATACCTAGTTTTTCAATGAAACTTTCAAGTCACACTGATATAAGTACATGTATCGGTGCATGTTTCCTGTATATTATGTCAGTTGAAACAACGTTTAAAAACATGTTTCCACATTTTCATTATAGGGCTACTGTCTGATCACATTGCTGCAAAACGACCTATCAAATGGAGTCATCGGGTTTGCAGAGAGTTCAAAGGTTATGAGGGTCAGCGAGGACACAGCTAATGTAGTGAATTTACGACTTGCCAGGACAAATGCCTTCTATGGAGAAGTAGAGGTGAGAATATTCAGTCATGTTCGGCACAACTGACATATATTTGAGGTGTAATAGTAGAAAGGCTTTGGGTATTCTTTTGTGCAAACTTACTCTAAAGTGGTATAAGACCCTACCAGCACAAGGAATCATACATGCACTTGCTAGTACACAGTGATTCAAATACTTTTAGAATTCCAGCTAACTGGGGTTAGTTAACCCTTTCAACACTGTAGACCAAAATGGACTCATCCAGATCAATGCATGGTAGAGTCTACTAAAGTTACACAGGGGTTTTAAGTTAAAAAATGAAAATCAGGTTTGATATGGAATGCAAAAGACTGTGTTTGAGCTTGGTTTATGTGTAGGCTATTGGTTGAGACATATTCCTATACAGATGATAGAAATGGATTTGTGTGTATGTACAGGTGTCGTGGGTGACCAAGCTAGCCCAGAACAGTAGCGAGGCTGAGGATGCAATGCTTGCCAGCCAGCTAATGAGGACTGCTGGTACGGTGATATGTGCCGCCCGCGAAGCTTCCTGTCACTTCAATGTCACCGTCAGAAATGACAATGTGAGTACCGCGTTACGTAGCTCCTGATCAGTGTATGCTACTTCATTTCAACTTACCATTCAGAAACACTATCGTGAGAATCTCACTTATCTAGAATAATACAATGTTGTTATTCCAAGTTTCTCATCAAATATAACAATGTGAGAATCACTGTAAGCTTGGCTCTGTTTTTTCTGTGTTACCCGGAGTTGATTTTAGCCTAAGCGGTAAATAACTTTAAAATATAATGGCATACTGATTTTTTGGATAAAAATTGACTTTCATATGCGTTGCAATAAACTGCATTACAGTTTTCACTGTCCCTATATCCTTTTGAAGCATAGAATTTCAAAAGTACCTCTTTTTCAATAAGTCCATTTTGAACTATTCTAAAAGACCCAGTTTGATTTGAAAAGGACCCCATTTATGACCCATGCAGTCCTAACACTGTCACCATGGGTGTCGATCATAATTTGAAGCATTTGACTAAACAAGACAAATTTGTCAGAAATGGTTACAATAGCTGGAAATGTTTTATATTTGATGTGAATCATTTTACAGATTCCAGAGGAGGCACATACATTTATCATAAAGCTGGTCAGTGTGAGAAGGGATGCTCAACTGGACAGTGGCAGTCTGGTTTCCACGGTAACCGTAGACTCTAGTGATTATGTCCGGGGTCTGCTCCAGTTCACAGAAAATTCAAGGTCAGTCGACAATTGTATGATTTTTAAAATTTCAATTTTGTAATAAATCAGTTATGTGTAAAATGACTACCAATTGAATATTCCCCTGTATCCCAGTGTGTGGGATGACACTGGGATACATAATTACTGTAAAACCCCTTGATAATTATCCCCGTCATGTGGATATGGGTTAGAATATAGCTAACTCTATTTTAGTGTTGTTGGGTCTATTTTTAGTCAAATTGTCGATGGGCCATAAACATTACAAAAACAGTTGCAAAAGGTTTTCTGCAAAAATCTACAGCATTGTGGGAAATCTTCTCCCAGAAAAGAACACTTTATAAACTAGGCAATGGTTGTGCTGTTCAATTGATTGGAGGCAACTCGGACTGGTATAGATTCGTTTCTGTTGGTAATGTTTCAGAATGACACACGATGCAAGAGTGTCAAATTACAACAGAATTTTGGAAGACATGTTGGAAAATGGCCCATTCCCTTGATGTAAAGGACCTTAATTGATTATTGCTATATAACCATATAATAAAGACTTGAGATTACCATGCTGACATTACGGTTTTGAAGACCTTTTTGTTTTCATTGCCATGGTGTAACAGATTGCTGACAGTGGGAGATACAAGCCGGACAGTGCTGCTGAAGGTCGAGCGAAAGATGGGTCAAGGTTACCGAGTACAGATAGGATATGAGACGATGCAGATGACCTCACAGGTGACAGAACATGGGGTCACCATCAACCCCGCCCTGGAGCAGGAAGACTACAGTAGTAAAGTGGGCATGTTGTTGTTCGAGGAGAACAGACAGGTAATTAAAAATTGAAGTTTGGTTTTATAATAGAAATTTTGATTTGTGATAGCTAGAATTGAATGTTCATGTAAACTCCACTCTCTAGATATTTCTTCTGTCCTTCACAGAAATAGCGGTATTTCTTCAGTCCATAATAAAAAGAGTTGTACAGAGATAAAGATATATTGTTACTTGTCATCTATAGTTTGATTGCAATGGTGACAATAACTGAGCAACTATGTTTATTTAATGTTTATTATTATACCTCATTTATATAATAGCATGTCTGATTGGATTATATGGATCACATGACAGGGAAATAAAACATTTTGTTGCCCTCATGCACTTAAGTTTCCAAGTCTTAATTTCCTTCTTTAGAGCCTATGGAAGTAAATGGGGCAAGAACCACATCTGAACTCATAGTGACTGAAGCAGATTACAACATTGGTGTGTCAACCTGATCTTCTGTATTGTTGTGTTATTGTTTGATTTTCATATTTTTGCTCTAAATGAAACATGGTCAATCTGGGGGAAACAAAGAATCATGTTTCCCTACAACAACGACAATAATACAACAGTGATCTGATATTCTAATTTGATCCAATCTGTTCATGCTTGTTGTTTTAACAGGATATAGAGACTGTAGAAATCAACCTAACTCCAGCCATACTTTCTAACAACCCTCTGCCGAAACAGTTTTATGTGACGCTGAAAAACCCTAGCAATGGGGCCAGGTAAGGGCACATATATATCTCTGGTACATGTATTTACTGTTGACTTTCAGATTTTCGTTTAAAAATTATGAAGATTTAATATCATATAAGTGTTTTTATATGCTAATTTATTAATATTAAGAAACCATTCTAAACAAAAGCAAAGTCTGGATTTGAAAAAAGAAATTGTTGTTTCTCTTTTGTAAAAAATATTTTCATAATTTTCCACTAATCAGTTGAAGTAAAAATGAAATGTTCCTTTTTTGCCCTGGAAGTATCCACCCTGACGCCAAGTACTCCCGAGCAGCTGTGCGTATCGTAGAGGAAAAGAACTTGCCAATCTGGATTGCCATCGGTGAACAAGAGAAAGGACCACACTACAACGACTCAGAAATCTTAAGGTATTCCAACACCTCTTGTTGACAGAAATTTTAAGGTATTCCAACACCTCTTGTTGACAGAAATTTTCAGGTATTCCAACACCTCTTGTTGACAGAAATTTTAAGGTATTCCAACACCTCTTGTTGACAGAAATATTTTCATACAATTGTTTATAAAGCATTGCTGTAAAACATAATTTATGTTTACACTGTGGAATCTTAGTATGGCAAACTTCAAATATTGTATCTTGAATGTAAAATAATAAGATTGAAATTATATTTTGTCATAAATTGCAAAGGGCCATGATAACGGAGTAGTTACAATTTATGTCTGACTGGCTATGATCATTAGTCTTCCACCACTTCGCCGCAAGTGGGGCAGTCGCCAAGTACTGGAACCTGGTTCATTCTGGTTTTCCTCCACCACCAAAACCTGGCTCGTCCTTAAATGACTAAAGCTGTTAATAGGACATATAACAATTAAAATCATGGGCCGTATGTTTTGGAAGTTAACATGATAAATGTTTATGTTATACTAAGCAGGCTAATTAAGTCTGATAGATGTGGGATGACAGACAATGAGTTCTGTATCATAGCTAGGTGTTGAGCCATGAGTTAAATATCTGATTTAGGACCCAATGGGTTTGTTTAATTGTTATAAACCTATTATCGATTGTAGGACATTGTCCCATTTGGACACTATTGCCAAGGTTGACATGGACAAGACAGAGGTGACACTTGTAGAAAACATCCTCAATGATTTCATAGACGAAGGCCTCAAACGTCAGTAAGTACTGTTTCAAGTGAAAAATAAATAACTGTCATCTTAAATATGCAATATTACAATAAGTTTGACAATTGTTTTTTAGCAGGTCAGAAGGCAAAATTTGATAGAGTGACCATATTACGACTTGCAGTACAGTAAAACCTTATTCTGTCACCATTTGTTAAGCAAAATGTTGGCATCATGAAGGAGCTTGTCTCTACATCAAGGGATATGTGAAAAGGATTTATTAAGAAAAGGAAACCAGGACCTTAAAAGGTGTTGGTGGAAAACAAAGTGGCAAATGAAATGAAGGACACAATACTAAGATTTTACTGTTATCAGAATTACATGTGTTTGATAAGTGGCTATTTTTAATATCAATCAGCAAATTTAATAAAGGTACTGTGAATTTGGCAAGGGTGTCTTTAAGAATAAATTGATTAACTGAAAAAAAAATGTCATTGCAGGTTACCTACAGAGATAATTAATCAGATGATGAATGTGATGTGTAACATGCTGAACCCGTCTAAGAACGACGCCACCAGGCGGCGCTCCTCCCTGGCAACCCTGATGGAGAAGCTAGCCTACACGACCTTGACAGGGAAGCCCTGCCCTAGTCCCGATCCTCCTGAACTGTGAGTAGGACAATATTGGTGTCCTTGTTAGGTAACCAGGAAATCCACAGAAAATTGCTACACAGGTATAGTTGTGACTTTGCAGGCAAAGATGGAACTGTCTGTTCACAACTTCCTTTACAGATGATTACTTATATTCCTACTTGACAGGTGTGCTGATCATCAAAACATGTATAAAATCAAGGGGAAAGTCGATTTACTAAAACTAGAGAGAAAAAAGTTATTGGAAATATCGTGTGGTTTGTTGACCTTGCAGATCAGTCAATGATCTAGTCACTGTCTTGTGGCTGTTTAAATAGAAATATGATATTTGATGAGCTTCTCACTCTACTTGTTTTGGGTAAAATCTTAAGTTCCCTTCATTTAAATACTTATCCTGCAAATTTAAAACTGAATAACTGGTTTGTTTACTTTGAATATAAACCATTTGATTCTTTAAGTTCAAAGGCCATGGCAATTAACCCTTTCACCCCTACGAAACTTTAGTAGACTCTACCATGCCTTTATGGGAATGAGTCCATTATGCCATTTATGGTCTACGGTGGTGAAAGAGTGGAACAAGTATCCTTTTTTATTATAGATATAAAACAATGCCTCACACTCTACTTACTTGACTTGTGTTACACCATTGTTACAGCACCAGTTTGCAGTGTGTCTATATGAGGATGTCTGCTGGACGATGGCCTCTTGAGAAAATACAGAATTTCCAATACAATGCACAGTAAGAGCAAATGTTTTCCAAATACATCTTTTCCCAAAGATCTGTGATAAGGTTGGATATTAGGCTTCTCTACTGCATGTGCAGACTCTCTGAAGGCAAAACTTGAGCCTTCTGAAATTACCTCTGGATGTATTCTACAAGAACTTAACTTAAGACTAATAAGGTTCACCTTATAAAGAAAAATCACTCAATTAACCAAAACATGGTGGTTTTAAACTAAAGATAAACAGACCGTTGATACCTTACTGTTGGGATGTCTCTTATTATGCCATGTCATGTTTCAGGAGATTGGACACTTTCACTGTTCCTGTAAAAGTGGAGAACGCACCTTTTCCTGCTGACAATGATGTAAGTTATGGGTTGTCTGTAATACTGCAAAACTGAGCCTGTTTGAACAATACCTGTTAAGCTAGGACCTAATTAGTCCAAGCTTGTGTAATCCAGAGTTGCCTCTGTTCCTATGTGTGGTGTTAAGATTTTGGCAGGTCTGTTTGTTGGGATCTAGTGTCTCTAAGGAGGAGATCATATCATGTGGTGACATATTAATACGCATTAGTTAATTACAGACATGTTATTTCAAGGTGAAATCACCAAATGTCTTTAAAACCTGAAACATTCACGCTAAAGTCTCCAAAATCCACGGAAAATTTAGATCCTGAAAAGTGATTTATTTTTGAAAGAAGTTTCCATGAGCGATTTACCTTAAAACTGTAGTGACTTGTTTGTGTTTTGGTTGATGGTAGTATCTATGATATTGTATTTGTGTTCAGTGCCTTGACTTTCACATGATGGAGTACAGCAGTGAACAGTGGTTCATGAAAACTGAGGATCCAGAACTTCTCAGTAACAAGGTGAGTACCCTTAAAGATGGGACAAATCTAACTAGAACATAACATTGATAATAACATTGATAATGTGTGGAAACTTCATTTTTATGCAAAATGGTTTCAACCTGACAGAATTTATCATTTTGCAATAAGGAGGGGGATGGGGTGTTAGTGTACTTGTAGACACGGCAAATGTGTCAAGGCTACTCCTCCTAAAGTGCTGCACTAATTTTAATGAAGCTTTGATAACCTTAATAAGACTCAGGATAACAGTTCTAGGTGCTAGAGAATCACATACACAATTGTACTATGTTTACAATTATATTCTGTTCAGCTCTTGCAGTTCAAAATAGTCCTCTATTAACTGAACCATTCCTTTTAACTCTCATCATGTTTGTCTAACACAGATTATCGGTTTTGGAATGAAGGACAGACAATCATCGTATTCAGATTCTCCAGCAATTTACCGAATCCACACACCTGATCGCCGAATCGCAACACGTAGGGCACAGTAAGTATGAGGGGGAAATGAAAGGGACTGCTGATAGCAGACCTGTGAGCGTTTATAAGAGGTGGACACTAAATCAGATGTGACTGTTTAACTTGCAGCAGAACTCTCGTTTCCTGACCGCGCTTACTACAGCTGATGCACTTTTTCCAAGATTAGTGCTCTTATTTATGTACTAAGACTTAATTTTGTTTTTATTTCTTTTCTGTAGATAGCTAGGAAAGTGCTCATGTTGATATTTAAGGTGTTTAAATGCATATCATAGTATAGTAAGTATATAAGTCATCCCACTTACTGAACTTCAGGTAATACTGTAATGTAACAGGAGAGGAAAAAATGCATGGCCAGACCAGGGTTCCGAACCCAAGACCTTCCGAACTCTAGATGGACACTCAACCAATTTATCTATCTGGGCGCCAACGATCGACCCAGTCCAGTTCCGCTACATTCCTCCTTCCTTTAACAAAGTCTTCAACCCCCGAAGACAAACGAGACCCTACACCACTTTCTGTGGGTATATTTCGTTGGGTGCCAAATGTAATAGGAGAGGAAAAATGCATGGCCGGACCGGTATTCAAACCCGGGACCTTCCGAACTCTTAGACGGACGCTCAACCAATTGAGCTATCTGGTCGCCAAAGATTGACTCAGTCCAGTTCCGCTACAGCAACAAGTATTCTGTGGAATAAAAAGTATATACAATATATAGACACTAGACAAAGGAGATCTAGTGAATCCACCCTCTGATCCACCCTACTTTGTACACGTGAGGAGTGTATGGTCACAATATCCCATGAAGTAATTGACAATGTAATATATTGATTTAAGCTTTATATTTTATCATCTTAGCTGGATTTCTAACTTGTGCTTTCCCTGTAGGTGTGTGTTTTATGACATGACTACGGCCGACTGGGTGAACCCCCAGGGTACAACATGTACTGTCACCAACAACCTGGAGCTGGCCACAGACGACTATGTGGACTGTTCCTGTAAACACCTCACTCACTACGCGGTCAAGGCCACCCCTCTAGATGCAGGACTCGTCGGGTACTCTGTCTGGTTCTTCGTCGTCTCATTCTTTGTCATGGTACGTATGACCTCAGCACAGCAGATGTTTTAAAATCTCAAAATTGTCACAACTGTGATGAAAAGTAAAATTTTGGGTATAACTTTTTCATTTTCTTATTGATATGACTACACATAAATCTGTAGACTACTGCAATTCATGCCAGCATGACATTAGAAATATATCCTTCATTCTATGTATTTTTTTTACAGTTTTAATATTGTTCTCATAGAAATAACTACTTAGAAATTACTTTTTTGTTCGTGATCAGTCATCATGTTGTTCCTGTTTATTTAATAAAATAAACAGTTTTAGACTGTAAGTCAATTTCCTTTGCATTTATAGTACAGTAAAATATTTGTCGACTTTTGTATGACAGGTTGCAATGGCTCTGGCTATACTGGTCCACCATATTTGTGCCAACCTTCACGCCATGTTTTCTGCCAACCTGCTTGTGCATATGTGCTTTGCATGTTTCGCCACTCAAGTAAGTATATAACACAACATGATAACGTTGGACATTCTATTATACAGATTGATCATCTGTGATCGTAGTTTTGTTATGTGGTAGCAGTGAAGGCTGTCCTACAGAAATCATTTTGTAGACTAGATTATCTCCCTTTGGGCTGTGTTATAGGGTAGCAGCCAGTGTAAGTCTGACACCAATCCTGTTATACAATATGATTATCTCCCAGTGAGCTTTGTAATAAGGTGGTGGCCTGTGCCAACCTAAGATAATTATCTCCCTTTATAAATGAGTTATAAGCTCCCCTCGCCCACAGGACCAAGTGAGTTTAAACTGTGGTTTGTTGTCCCTCCATCCATCGTCAGTTTGTTAAACAACTCCTTTTGAATAACCAATAGGCCTTTGGTGATAATATTCGGCCTCTTGCTTGCTGGCCGGAGTTGGGGATATTCGGCCAGTTGCTTGCTGGCCGGAGTTAGGGCTATCAAGTGTATACAAATGAATGACCTAGACCAACTTTCAAATTCAAAGGGGTGAACATTGTTAAAATAATTCAACAGTTTCCTTTGAATAACCAAGAAGCCAAGGGTGATGATATTTGACCAGTAGCATGCTGGAATGAACAACATGGACTCAGTTTCAAGGTCACAGGGTCAAATTTGTTGTAACCTTTATTCAAACAACTTCTTCTGAATAACCAAGAGACCTAAGGTGATATTTGGCCGGTAAGATCGAGAGCTATAAAATCAGCTAAAATAAATGTAACCTTAACCATATTTCAAGGCCACAGAGATTAAATGTTTTTTTGAATATTTAAATAACTTCCAGATAACCAAGAGGCACAAGGTCATGCATTTGCCCATTGAGATTAGAGGTTGTAGGGAGATCAAGTTTATTTTCATTAGTGACCTTGATACGTTTCATGTATTAAAGTCTTAAACAATTTTATGCATAACTAATAGGTCTATGGTCATGATATTGAGCCTTATGTAATCTTAGAAAGTGTTAGAATTAATTGATTTCGATATTCTTTGAATGTCTGAGCATTGAACACCAGGTGATTGATACAGGCCCATATGGCCTCTGATAAAGTAGCTGCCTATGTCAACTCCCACCTGTTATACAATAGGATTATCTCCCTTTGTAGCTGTGTTACGTGTACGATTATCTCCCTTTTAGCTGTGCTATGTGGTAGCAGCCTATGTAAGCCCTACAGAGATACTGGTGTACAACATTGGTGAAGACAACTACAGATGTATTGTGATGGGACTGTTTCTACATTACTTTTTCCTATGTCAGTTCACCTGGATCATGGCTCAGGTAAAAAAATATATAAATCTCTTGTCGTATTCAAATATGGTAATTTTGTCAAGTTGTAGTTTTCAAAGAAATCAACTAGGTTAACAGTTCTCTACTGTCATAAATGTCAATTAGAATGGACATATATTTAACACTATAAGTTTTCTCGGCAGTTTAATGTGTTTAAGAGACCAATATGATTGATCATGGAAGTTTCAAGTCAATATTTGTTACAATATGGGAAACATGAAATATTTAAGAAATATCATGATGCTTGGAATGGCTTACTTATGTTGTTTTTTTTTACAACACAGGCCATCAACTTTTGGAAGATACTGGTGCTGAATGATGAACATACAGACAGAAAATATGTGCTGTTCTTCCTCATCGGATGGGGTATGTGACTGAATATCATTCTTAAAACACAGGATATCAAAACTGTTCATGAAGCTCTTTATCCTATGAAACAATTAAAACCTAGGTTAGAGAGTCCTTGCATTGTGTTGTATCCATAGTAAATTGATTTGTATTTCCTTTCTCATATTAGAAAATATATTTGCCCAGTTACTTTAGAACTAAAGAAAGAGTTAATTATGAACCAAATACTTCTTAATTGGAATTTCCTTTTTTATAAAAGCATCTCCCCTAGAGATTTCGATCCCCAGACTATAAACCAGGATACTTGTAACTATGCTATCCTCCATATGTGTATACTATTCTGCAATATTTCTGGGTATTTTATAAAATCTTCTTGATGAAGATCTCGGAACATAATATTGCCTTTTGTATGAATATATAGATATAGGTACTGTAATACCATACATTTAACAGGAAGATAACTTTTCAAGTAGACATGTGGTGGGACTCTCTACTATAACAGAATAAGCCAGTAATTTGTGTTTCATGTTTTTTGCCAAATAATGAAAAGCTACATAAAAATCTTTATGATATCAAATCTTTTGGAATATTTATATTTTATTAGGTCACCTGAGACAAAGTCTCAAGTGACCTATTGCGATCGCCTTTTGTCCGTCGTCGTCCGTCGTCCGTCGTCCGTCCGTAAACAATTTACATTTTCGACTTCTTCTCCAAAACCCCTGAACCAATTTCAATGAAATTTTGCAGGGACCTTCCATGGACAAAGGTCAACAAAAA